TGTTCCTGGGTTTAGATATACTTTAAGGGGTCTATTTATCAGTTTCCACCCAAGATTCACCTATTTTCGAATTCATCTTATGTGGGGAAAAGGTGAATCCCAGTTGGAGTAAAAAGGTTTCAGCTGTATAATAGGGTTAAATACTGCAGGGAAACAAAATCATGTACAGGGTCATAATGCAAGTCAAGGTGCCCTGCTCAGAGAGACGTCACTGAAAGTACACTGCACATGACTGTTTTTCAACGAAAGCAAAGCTTACATGCAAAATTAATTCTAAAGCGATAAAAATGCAAATATGATGCATTTAATACAACACAATAGGATCAGGATTTCTTTTCCATTTTTTTAAGTACTAAATGTAGTGTTTTACCTTCTCCTTTAAAGTGACCTTTTAGGATCGAATGAAAAAAACGATCTGCACATTGTAAGGTCTACTGGATGCAAAACTCATGATTCATAGACTCTCAAAACAGAGGGGCAGTGCTTGATTTTCACTTTTTCCTTTTCCAACGCACAGCTCACACTTTTAAACGGAGAACCTCTGCAGAGGCCACATTTTTACAAAACCCAGCACTGTTTTTAGGCCTTTCCACCCCCTCTGTGCCTCTCAAAATAACTTTCATATGTTGTTTGCTGCACCATGGGGCACTAACCATTCACTGTGACAGAAAAGATGTGAAAACAGTCCCTACTCTCTGCCTATGGACATGAACCAACTTATATGCCTTATGATAGAGAGGATAGATACATGTGTTACAATTCATAAGTAATTATTTATGAACTGAATACATAGACACGGGGAAAAGGATCCTTATTGCGATGTAAAACAATCAAAGAAGTTGCAGCAAGTCTTTCATGCATATCATTACCCTGCATCAATATTCATTAAATGTCAAATTGGAAGGGTGGAAGTAAATGAATATTTAAGAAAAAAAAAAAAGTTGGTTGGTTGGTAGGCTTTTTATGGCAGAAACAAAAAAAACTGTGTAAGGGGAGGGGATCAGTTTGGCAGGTACGTGTGCCATAATGTGCGAATATGCTGTGAGGGGCGGGGGGGAAGGTGCATTATGAAACCATTAAAATAGGGCAGTGAACTCCTACACAGAAAATGCAAAACTCTGTAGACCATAGTAACAACAGTAACTTTGATATAGAAAATCTGAAAATGCTAGTTGCCTGTATGTAGGCTGCCACTGAGAACCTCACCTCAACCCTAAAAGATAGATCTGAAGAATTCTCATAGACATAGTTCTAGTGGGAACAATTCTCGCATCAATGCAACCTAAGAAAAAAACCTTGACTCTTCCCGTTATTGTTGCACAGCTACAGGCACTGAATAGGGTTGTCGGTGAACACTCAGGATTAAGGGAAACATCTTGTGACATTGAGCGATACTGGTTTGATATATAGGTGTGTGTACATTAAGAAGAACTCTGGGGGAAATTATTATTAACCCCTGCAATGGGGCTACCCCCACACTGTAAGGGTTAAGTGCTCATTTGTGACTACAGAGGAAAGTTAAAAAAAAGTTACTCACCTGATCATCAGAGCCGGCCTGCTCCTAGACTGGTCCATGGAGCCTCTCTCCCCCTTCACTGCAATAGTCTGAGGTCACTGAGCCACTGTCTATAGGACATGAGGACAATATACCATCGCTGCAGCATAGGAGGAGACAGGCTGAAGGGAGCGCTGTCACAGCCGGCCGGATTCCGAGGATCAGGCGAGTATAACTTTGTTATTTTCAACCCAATACAAAAACAAACACTTACCCTTGCAGTGTGGGGGTAGCCCCACTGCTAGGGTTAATAATGTTCCCTAGCATGTTCTGCTTTAAAATTACTTTTCTATGTCAATTGCTATATAACCATTGCTTTGTGGTAGGAATGGAACAGCCTGTTTGTTGGTGGAATTTGTTAAATAAAAAAAAATAAAAAAATGTAAAAAATAAAACCAGGTGGTTGATACTTTCAATGCCCCATCAACTTAATGGACACATGTTGTCTATAGCAGGCTTAAGGTGGCCATAGACTTTACAACCCTCGCAAGACCTTAGTCTTGCGAGGGTTGTAAAGTAATTTTAAAAATGTACGATCTGACCATCATGGACAGGCAGATCGTACTTGCGATCATCGCAAGCCCGCCCCCCTGAGGGGCGGGCTTTCGATGACCGCAATGCTGAACGGGCAGTGTGCGCACAGCGGCACGTGCAACATTGATCTTCCGATCATGCTAAAAACCAGACGAAAATCGTACGATTCTCGGCTGGTTTTCCAGCGTGCTCCTTAGACAAAAGACCTGCCACAGTACAGTAGAAACGGTCGCACGTCTTCATTCACACTGCACGATTCTCGTACGATCGCGGGATTTCCCGCGATTCTCGTACGAGAATCGTGCAGTGTATGGGCACCTTTAAGGTTTCCTTACATAACATATTATCAAAGAATATAAAATATCTTGAGGGGAATTTATCAAAACTGTAGCAGAGAAAATCTGGAGCAGCTGTGCACGGCAACCAATTAGCATCTTTCGTTCATTTTCAAATTTTAAGTGAACAAACTGAAGAGAGAAGCCGATTGGTTGCAGTGGGCAACTGCTCCAGTTTTGATAAATTCCCCCCCAGGAAATAGGAATATACCTGGGTCAAAGAAAATAATCAAGACTACAGCCATCAATAAACAGACGTGTCTAATGCAACCTTGAATGAATGAAATACCAAGTAAACCTTTCAGGAAATGTCATATTGTTATACAATACTAAAAGAAACTTACATTCAATATTCATTTTCCTGCTAGCTCATAATTTTACAAGATCTAGAGATATTTTAATTGAAGGAAACAGTAGACATATACAATTCTGCTACGGACAGCTGTGTTAACAGTTCCCCTTTAACCAGTTGACATCCGCGGTGTTAAACCCCCTTCCCATCCAGGCCATTTTTCAGTATTCAGCGCTGCGGTACTTTGACTGACATTTATTCCGTCATGCAGCGCTGAAAATTCCAAACATTTCTGACTGGAGCTAATGAACAGGCACAAAATGGATCCATTTATCAGTGCCGTACATTTTTTAGAAAGGAGGAGAAGTTGTGTGATAACTGGCATGGTCTCATTTATTGGTTGAAATTTGATGGTACATTCATATCAAAGAGGACCTGTCTCGTGGCAGCTGTGCCCCAAAAAAAGCCAAGGAAAGGGTCAAGGACTAGGCGCCAGTATTGCCTGTGGTCTCCTGCAGCCGATATTTTCCCATTACTGACTCACTATGTTTTGTAGCCCTCCTTACCATCTTATCTTGAATTGTATTGTGATTGTAATGTCTTCCTTATATTGTAAAGTGCTGTGGAAACTGTTGGTGCTATAGAAATCTTGAATAATAATACTGTGTCTCTGTGTGGAGGCGGCCATCTTGGTAGAGGAGCAGGGCTTTGCTTCCTCTCGGAAAACTTTCCCCTTATTGACGGATGGAAAAAAAATCAAAAAAAAAAAAAAAAAAAAGGGAGATGCAGAAAGCACAAATCCACAGAATTACTAAAGGAGGAGCAGGGAGATCCTTGCACTGAAATGCCTCAGGTACAGATCCTCTCCGGCAAGGAGAACAGTGAGCAGCACAAGAGTAACATCATCAAATCTGACAAAACTAGCAGTCTGAGGAAGTGCACTGCCATTTTTCAGGAGGAATTCAAAGCAAAAAAGTAGAGTTTGAGGCAAAAAATCAACCTATTCCCGACAACAAAATAAATCTTAATTTCTTAAACTCAGGTCCACGTTAAAGCTGAACTCTAGGATAAACAAATATTGTCTAAACAGAAAAGCCATGCATTTTTAGATTGTGGGCCCTCCTTGCCATCAATTGTAATGTCTTCCTTATATTGTAAAGCACTGAATAAACTGTTGGCGCTATATAAATCCTGTATCATAATATTCTTACTTCTTGGTGTGCTCTAAAAATTTCTTCCGATTTGTGCAGTAATCAAATGTGAAACTTTGCCTTTGTGCAGAAGCTGCCTGTAATAAAGACCAGTCACTGCGCGCGCGCGCTCGCTCTCTCTCTCTCTCTCTCTCCTCGTGCAGGGTGACTGGTCTTGTATCCGCCCGTCCTCTAGTGTTCTGCAGATAGCCTGTAGTGGGCAGGGCTTACCAAGTCCCTCCCACAACTCTGCTCAGGCTATGATGTCACCACTATGTTTATGAGGTAAAACCTGGGTGTGACCATGGATTTGGGCACCCAAAGTGGATTTTTATTCTTTGTGGCTATGGATGAATATATTTAAAATGAAAGCTTTTGTGCATGGAGTTCATCCTTAAAGTGCTAACATATTATGTTATTTAAATATTGCATGTTATCAACGCCTTCACACAGGCTGATGTCAGCTATCAATCCCACAAAGAACAATATTACATTTTTAACAATAAAACTTGGAAAATAAAAAAACAAGCTCGCCATCCCCATAGACAAGCCATTTTGATGATATTTACAACTGCTGCAAAACTTCCCTTTCACAATGGTGTTTAATCACTACAAGGCAAGAGTTATCTAGAAGCATCCACTTACTTCAAACTCCACAGAAGTTCCAGTCTTCATGTTCATTGTCAGAAAAAGGTAGACTTCAACAGACTAATTGTAGTAATTGAAGGGTGTTTGGGCTCCTCCTAAAAAAATGACCATGTAGCCCTTGCCTGTGACTGGGGAGGAAGTTGGGGGTTGTCTGAGGAAAGTGAGCTTTTACAGCAGATAATTCTTTACCTTGTTCACCTATATAATCTCTCCCATCGTTCTCCCACCTCCTGCTGTCTTCCAGTCAATGTACAACCTCTGCCTGCTGTTTCCCCTCACTTTGAAGAAGTTGTCCTCCTTTTCAGCGCTCCCCTCTATTCTTTTCTTTCTACACAGCAGAAGAAGGAAGCCGCTTCACTCTCTCAGCAACCCCCTTCTCCCTCCTGCCTTACTTCCTCCCCGTGACGTCACGGCCACAGGTTTCCTCCCACCCTCGCAAAGGCGTCTCCTCTAGCCCCAAGCCTTGAGTCATCCAGAACCATAGAGAAGGAAGAACCGGGCGCCGCACTTACCATCGAGTTTGCGGTCCAGTCCGCCAGTCCTCCAGACCGAAGAGAGCTTGTGATAGAGCGTCTGCTATTTCCGTTTCTCTGACGTTCTGATTTTGTGTTTGTAATTGAAGAGATGGCGGGAGAGGGTGAAGGAATGGCAGAGACAGGGTGAGTGTGGTGTTTTGTAGGATAATTTTTTTTTTTTTTTTTTAAACAAACTAAGTTTGAGGTTGATGTGACCACAGGTTCACTTCCTGAGTTTTTAGTTTGCCTTTTTCAACAGAAAATCAGTCACCAGACGTTTGAAAATGCAACCCCAGAGTGTAAGTTTTTTAAAACTTGCATTGGTCTAGCTTGGCTTGTTGAAAGTATCCATATCTGATACAGTGAAATCACTGGAGTAGTCCATGCTACAGCTAGTAATAGCTTTGATCTTCTGGGTGGAGGTGTGATCTGCAAGGTGGAGATTGTGATGTTATCTGCTCCACCTTTTCCAATCAGAGAATGTACTGTATTCATTGAAGAAAGAAAAATACAAGGCATTCTCTGCATGACAGGGGTGCTTAGCCAGCGACTCCTTCAGTATGAAGAGGGTAAACCACTGGAGCCACAGCTGGAAGAACATGGCTATCACTGTATGCAGAGTGGACTACTGCAATGATTTGTCTGCATCCCCAGTAGCCCTTCGGATGTCGGTTAAGAATACTTGCATG